CAAAGTCAAAGAATGTATAAAGTCAGGATCTTAAAAGGTTATTTTTCTATTTTTCCACTCTGAAATAAGTTTCAGAGACCATAAATATCCAACAGTTTCCAACAATTCATAGCACCCCAGGGTGATCCAGAAGTGGCCTATGCAGATACTACACAGCATTGATCTTTTATGGTTTGTGGGGCTTTAGGGAGAAAGAATATCTCTTCTCCTCCCTCATTACGTGAATGGATTTTTATTATCTCCTAGGAAAAATAAACCCAGTTATTTCAAGACATGATTGGGCTTAAGAGGAATCCTCTGATCAGAAGGAAAGCATCTCCTTGACATGCTTTGGCTTCTTTCAGTTGTCTTCACTGGTGGTGCTAGGCAGGAAATGGCTTGAAAGGACCAAATTTAGTGCCATATAGATCTCTTAAAAGAAGGTCAGATTGTTGTTGTTGTTATTATTACTTAAATTTATCAGCCACTGGTTCCAGCAAATGATTTACAACATAGAAACAAGACAAATAAAATCAAAATAAAAAGGGTAAAGATAATAGAATAACAAACAATTAATCAGTGGAACAACTTGCCTCCAGAAGTTGTGAATGCTCCAACACTGGAAGTTTTTAAAAAGATGTTGGATAACCATTTGTCTGAAGTGGTGTAGGGCTTCCTGCCTAGGCAGGGGGTTGGTCTAGAAGACCTCCAAGGTCACTTCCAACTCTGTTATTCTACTCTACTCTACTCTACTCTGCTCTGCTCTGCTCTGCTCTGCTCTGCTCTAAACCAGCTGAAAACAAAACAAAAAGCTAACTTAAAAGGAGGCTTCAATTATCATCACTAGGAACTCAAAGCAACCTATGGAATGTCTGTCTTATTTATTTATTTTATTTATTTACCGAATTTATATTGCCGTCTATTCGCCCATGGCGACTCGAGGTGGCCTACAGAATGTAAAACCATATTTAAAATAAAAAAACAATAAAAAGAATCACATAAATTAATAAAGTACAATAGAACATAGTTTGTGGGAGGAAATCATCTCCCAACTCCCACCCTCACCCCAACAACAGCAAATCACATGAGCCATTTGATGGGCTCCATCCTGCTCTGAGTTCCCCCAGGCCCACTGGCAGAACCAGGTCTTCAGTGCCTTCTGGAAGAGTATTAGTGAGGGGGCCATTCTAATCTCTGGGGGAATGATGTTCCAGAGAGAGGGAGCCACCACAGAGAAGGTCCTTCTTCTGGGTCACACCAGGTATATCTCCCTCAGGGATGGGACCCGCAGCATTCCCACTCTAATGGGTCGGGTAGATGTAAGTGGCAAGAGACTTCTCAGTTTTCCTACAACAGTTTAGGCAGGGATGTCAAACTCACGTTGTCACCACAGGATGTATTGGGACTTTCCCCCCTTCACTAAACTGGACATGGGTGTGGCCAGTGCGTGATACATCTGGTCCATGGGCAGCGAGTTTGACAGCCCTGGGTTAGGGGATGTTTAAGATAATTTGCCTAGGGTTTTGACAAATTTGGCAGCATTGCCTTATGATTTTCAATCTCTTCTTATAAATATATCCCCTTTCATTAGTATTTATGGAGTTGCAAATAAATAATAATGAATAACTTCAGGAAAGAAGAATCAGCAGATATAAAAGAGAATACCCTTCATCACTACATTTTTAGAAAACAGTAGAATGCTAAAATGAAGAGGGATGTATTGTGTTTGTTTTGTTTCCTTTTTCTTTGTTTTGCTTTCTGGAATGATGCTAACATTTAATTTTTCTGTAGTTGTTTATCTGTAATCTTGTTAGACTTGCTCTTTAAAGTCATAATGGGAGATTGGAGGAGGGGGTTATTGCTGCATGAAAAATAAACACAGAGACACAGAGAGCAAATGTCAAATGCCATCTAAAGATGTCAAAACATTGTGACATTTTCGATGACATATTCGCTAATGAATAAACTCACTTTCAGAATTCAAAAAGGCTTTTAAACATTCCTTCTGCACATAGCAATAGCACATAGACTTATATACCACTTCACAATGCTTTACAGCCCTCTCTAAGTGGTTTACAGAGTCAGCCTATTGACCCCAACAATCTTAGTCCTCATTTTACCGACCTTTGAAAAATGGAAGGCTGAATCAACCTTGAGCCTGATGAGATTCAGTCTGCCAAATTGCAGGCAGCCGGCAGTCAGCAGAAGTATTCTGCAGTACTGCATTCTAACCACTGTGCCACAGTATCTCAGAACATGATGAAAGACCCCCCCAAAGACATGTGGCTTCGATTAATCCACGAACTGGCAATAGTTAGCTTTCTGCATTCCACATGTCACATGCAGCATATTGTATGGAACCCATCTGCTACCTGAGGGAAGGCTGGTTAGCATGATATCAGAAAATGGTGTGTTACCCATATGTTAACCTAACTATCTTGGGATCAAATGGGATGAGAACATGAATGCCTTTTTTTTCTGGCATTATGCTGCAATCTCAGCATGTGTTGGAAATGTCTCAAGATTGGTTTTCCATTTACGTATCAACATTCAGCTATGGAATTAGCTCTCTGGAGCAATTATTTAATAATAATAAAGGTATTTTATTATTTTCTCTATTTCTATATCAATGTAATATGAATTAAACAGAATGAACTGATTAAAAGTTCCTTCTAATTAGCAAAGTATTCCAAAGTATTAGTATTCCAAAGAATCTCTCAAATTGGGTCCAAACTGATCCAAAGATTGTAAACCACTGACTTGTTATTACAGGACAGAAATCAGAGCAAGTCTTATACATAAATGAGTAACACAATAAATATCTAAATAAATGCAATACATAGTTGCTCATTAATCTTTCCACCAGGACCATCTGCTGGTAGTTTCTAACATATACAAATACACATTCTATATTCTATATTCATAGTTTTGTCTATACACATTTATTACATATGTATAACATTTTGCTCTATTAAACGGGATAGTGAAATATTTTATTCATTTATCAAAAATTATATATACACATACACAAGCAACTTTCAATGTATTAAAATATACAGAAAAAAAGGAGGTAGAAATAAAGAAATGAAAAATAAAAAATATATAATAATGCCTTCTGTCCTTTTTATAAAGAAATTATCATCCTAAACTTTTCCCCATCTTCTGCATCCATAAAAAAAATTCTTAATACCCATGATATCAGGCACCAAGCAATAAAGCATATATTACTTCTAGAAAATGAAAATGAATGTTGACAAAAGGCTTGAAGAATTTACTAATATTGCTTTGCCCATTTTATTCCAGAGTATTCCTTTAAATACAAATCCAAGATGAATTTGTGTTCTGAAATACAAAACATTTTTTCAACCCATTCTCAGTTTAAAACTCTCCTTCATTGTCAGTAACTCTCATAATAGAGTCAATAAGTGATATTGAAAACACACATCTTCCTTAGTCATGTAAAATTGCAAAAAAGACCAGAGAAAGCTAGTATTTCTTTTTTCACACAAAGCTCTTTTTAAAAAATGGCTGACATTTAACAAACACTTGTAGCAACCTGACTTTAACATGATAGAACTTGACATCATCTAAGCCAATGGTTAGAAAACAAGATACAGTATAGCAAAAAGCCTCAAACATTAATTTTGTAGATTAGTAGTTAGATTTGCTGATAAGAACCAATAAATCTCTCAGAAATACAGCATAAATAAGTTAAATATACACAGCTGATAATTGACTTTAACTTATCCTATCATAAGATAAGGTCCCATTTTCATATATAAAAATAAAATATAACATGATCCCAACTTATTGAGAAACAAAAATATTATCTATACACAATGCCAAGACTTATTTTCATATAGTAATAGATATAGTGGGGCAACCCCACAACAACTGGATTATCATTTGAACACTATTGGCCATGGCAAATTCACTACCAGTCAATTGCAAAAGGCAGCTTTATTTGGAACAGCTTACATCCTGTGATGATATTTGTAACACCATCAAACATCCACATCTACCTACCCCAGGTTCTTGGGAAGGACTTGATTAGGTGGACAAAAATGCCAAATCCAATCTGAACATCTGTCTGACTGTGTGATTAACCATAATAATGTCTATGCACACACTAAATACATTTAGATTTCTGAATGGAATTCACCCAAACCATGCAATTAGCATTCCTTTGTCTTTAACAATACCTCAGATCACTCATTAACAAAAGCTGTTCAGAATGAAATACAGATATTTCCTTTTATTCTGAATTAATAATCCACAATTTCATTTTTCTTTCCTTTGCAGCATAATCTGAAGAAAAGCTAAAAAAAAGAAATCAAACTCTAAAATTAACCAAGTGTGTTTTCTATTTTTCTAGGGAGTGAAACAATTTGAACAGGGAGAGAACTATAAATTTAATTCTTATGCAAATCATATTTTTGTTTGTTTTTATTCATATATAAAACTTAAAGAACGCCCATCAGACCACCTACAGAGCAATTCATGACACATTTAATAACAACATGTTTTTTTAAAATAACAACAGCAGATGCCACCAATTATAGCAATTTCTCAAAATGTGCACCTTAATTTATAACAAAATGAGAAGCTAAAATACAGGAATACTTAATTTTCTACTTGATTTCCTGTTTGATAATTAACATTTTAAAACAGACGTGCATCCTCCCAGTTCAAGACTCTGTGTTCATGTCAATGCAAAATATCACTGTGGGGGACATAATTACTATATAATAGCAGTCTTCACCACATCTTGCCAGAAACTATAAGGGCCATAGTTCCACAGATGGATCTGTGGCAAATTTAATTATATTTCAATCATCTTATCAAGAACAACAAACATCCAAAACAAGTTCAAAGCAACCTTTAATCGTTTTTCTAAAACGTTTTTTTCCCAGTCAGTTAGTTATATTTATTGCAATTTTTTGTTGCCAAAATGTTCTTTAACATCATTGAAACATTTCCAAAAGAGAGAGAGAGAGAGAGAAAGAAAGAAAGGATTTTACCTTGCGGATTCCTCTGCTTAGTTCCTCTCCATAGTTTGTCCCTAGGATCTCAAATATAACATTGGGATTCCCTCCATTCTCTGCAAATTCCAGATCTCCTGTCAAGCCATTCACTCCACCCTTAAAAACAAGAGGGAGAAAACTTTCACATGTATAAAGGTAAAGGTTCCCTCACACATACGTGCTAGTAGTTTCCAACTCTAGGGGGTGATGCTTATCTCTGTTACAAAGGCAAAGAGCCAGCATGGTCCAAAGATGTCTCCAGCATGACTAAATGCTGAAGGTGCACGGAACACTGTTACCTTCCCACCAAAGTGGTCCCTATTTTTCTACTTGCATTTTTACATGCTTTTGAACTGCTAGGTTGGCAGAAGCTGAGAAAGGTAACGGGAGCTCACTCCATTATGCAGTGCTAGGGATTCGGACCACCGAACTGCCGACCTTTCTAATTGACAAGCTCAGCATCTTAGCCACTGGGCCACTGCATCCCTTGTTCACATGTATGCTTCATTTCAAATATATCTTCCTGCCCTTATGAAATTCACACACAGCAAAACATTCAACATTCATTATGAACATTCAACGTTCATTATTCAAAATGTTTTATGCATTCGTGAACTCTTAATAACTACAAAAAGTAGAATAAGAACTTGGAAGAAATTTAAAACAGTTGCAATAATTTTAATACATTGGCTATTTCTTTCATTTACTTCTTTATGCTTCTTTTTTTTTAAAAAACCTTTGCAAACACTTACAAAGGTGAGGTGTCTAATATATGTATATATGTATGCAATTTCTATAGCTGCCTCTCTCAATCAATGACTCTGGGCAGCTTACATCCAAATGTTAACTTTCCAGTACTCAAATCTGATCAGTCATGTGTAACACAGGCAATTGTTGAAGTCTCTACAGAAAACAACATTTGATTAAGTTGATGAAAGAGTCACATTTTATGAATATTAAAGATGTGAATATTTTACCAGGCAGGTAGAAAGATGCACATCTTCTGGTAGGCTTGTATTTGGAAATGGAATAATTTTGAAAGGATTGCAACCCCAACCCTTGAACTAGATTTGTCAACTATTTAAATGTGTTCCACATGGTATAAAAGAGACAACGGAACAGTCTTCCATAAGATTGTAAAAAGCACCTTAGAATTTTAAAAAGTCTTCTTAAAATAAGCTAATATTTTTCTGAAAGAAGGGAACCTCAAGAAAAATCTTGCATAAAAAAAGCAATTGTGTTGCATTTATTTGTTTGTATTCTAAAAAGTGACTTATGACCGTTTTTCACAGTTATGACCATTGCAGCCTCTCCATGGCCACATGATCAGAATTCAGATGTTTGGCAGCTGAGTCATATTTATGATGGTTGTAATGCCCTGGAATCATGTGATTACCTTTTGAAACTTTCTGACAAGCAAAGTAAATGGGAAATCCAGATTCACTTAACAAACCTGTTACTAACTTAACAAATGCAATGATTCACTTAACAAATGTGGCAACAAAATTAGTAAAATGGGGCAAAACTCACTTAAGAAATGTCTCACTTAGCAATATAAATTTTGGGTTCCATTGTGGCCGTAACTCGAGGACTACCTGTATCTTTCCTGTTAAACACAGTGCACCTAGAATCCCAAGCTTGATTTTGCCCAGGGGTGGGCTTCAAAAATTTTAGCAATGGGTTCTCTGCTCAGTTGCTGCATGGGTGTGGCCATGATGGATGTGGCCTAATCGGCCTCCTGCACCACAGTGGAAGGGGTGTTTTTGCCCTCCCTGGGCTCCGGAGGCTCTCTGAAAGCCGTAAACTTCTGAGAGGCCCATTTTTCACTCTTCCTGAGCCTCTGAGCACATCCTGAACTTATCTGCATCCAAAACAGGCCACAGGGGGACTCCTGGGAGGGGTGGAATGGGGTGGGCAGGGCCAGCCAGGAGTGGGATTTGGGGATTGTCCAAACTGCACAAAATCTTAGCTAGGGGCTCTCCCAAACCCCTGGATTTTGCCAGCCAGAAGACTAATTCACTAGGATAAAAATGAACTTTCATGTCTCCTATTTCAAAAATCAATATTATCCATCACTGACAATAAAGAGCCAGAAATTGGGAAGCAGGACATTAGATCTATGGATCATTCTTGAGATTGAGGGAAAACAGCATCCACAGCTCTGTTTTCCATAGGGCATATGAAAAAAAAGACTTGCTTTTTGTCAAGAGCTGAGATAAATGTGACTGAAAAAAACCCAGAAGGCAGTTAGTTATAATAAAGCAGCATCATTTTTCTTTAGAGTGTATTGTTTGTATCAGCCTTATTTAATAATTTACATAGATTACAAATAGAATGGCACCACCATTATTTCTCATAATTGCTTTGGTCACCATTTCTTGAAGTGTCTTTACTGAATAATGGGAAAATTGTCAAAAGTTTGAATAATGAAAATGGGGAGTTTTTAAACCCAAAATACCTTGATGGATTCTACTTAGAATAATGGAGAAATTGTGAAAATGATCTAATTCATTATATTTCTTCCAGTTTTGAGATGTGAGAGCAGATTCTTATTTTGGCTCAAATGGGATTTGCGATGACTTTTACTTTTATGAATTTTCTAGACCTGATGGAGAATCCAAAAGTAAGTTGATTTTGATTCCTTCTTGGTATATTCAGGTGTATTCTTATAGTAGAGGGGTGTCAAACTCAAGGCCCGCAGGCTGGATCTAGCCTGCGGGGTGCTTCGACCTGGCCCATGGGGCCACCCTGGAAACAGCAAAGGACCAGTTCTCAGCACATCTGTGGCCATCCTGAGCTCCATTTTTGTTGGCAGAGGGTTGCAGAAGGCTGTTAGGCTGTTGCAACTGGAAATGGAGCTTGGGAGCGCTGCACACAGCCTTTATGAGCTCCGTTTTCATTACAGAAAGTTGTGGGAGGCCGTCGCAGGTAGAAACAGAGCTTGGGAGGACAGCATGCAGCTTTCATGGGCTCTGTTTTTACTGGCAGAGGGTTGCAGGAGGACATCACAGCTGGAAACGAAGCTCAGAAGGGCAGCAGACAGCTTTCACATTTTTGCTGGCAGAGGGTTGCAGGAGGCCATCGCAGCCAGAAACGGAGCTCGGGAGGACAACGTACAGCTTTCACGAGCTCCGTTTTTGCTGGCAGAGGGTTACAGGAGGCAGTTGCAGCCAGAAACGGAGCTCGGGAGCTCATTTTCACTGGCAGAGCACTTGGGCCATTACAGACAGCCCGACATGAATGATGTTGAGCTGGTCATGCCCACCCTGGCCATTCCCACTCTGGCCTCCCGAGGTCAAAAGCAAACCTGATGTGGCCCTCAATGCAATCAAGTTTGACACCCCTGCTATAATATATATTCAGATTAGGCTCTATTTCAAGTTCATATTGTAGTAACCCAAATGGTATATGGAGGGCTAACCTCATACAGGTGGCAAAACAGTTAGATGTTTGTAAGAAACACTGTTCAACCAAAAACTGTATACAGGCAGTCCTTGACTTATAACCATTCATTTAGCAACCATTTGAAGTTACAACAGCGTTAAGAAAAGTATCTTATGATCAGTCCTCAGACTTATAATTGTCATACAATCAAAATTCAGGCACTTGACAACTGGCATGTACTGTATTTACGATGGTTCCAGCATCCGGGGGTCATTTGTGACTTTCCCAGCTATCTTCCAACATGTAAAAGTCAATGGGGAAGCTGTATTTGTTTAATAACCACATGATTTGCCTAACAACTGCAGTGATGCACTTAACAATGGCAAAAAGGTCATAAAATTAGGTACAACTCAATTGCCTTGCTTAGCAACAGAAATTCTGGTCCCAGTTGCAATCATAAATCCAGGACTGCAGGTAGTCCTCGAAATACAAAAGTTCATTTAGTAACCATTCAAAGTTACAACGGCACTGAAAAAAGTGACTTATGACCATTTTGCACACTTACAATTGTTGCAGTATCCTGTAGATGGCGCTAGCAGCACACTGCAGTGTCTAATATCTATATGGGCCTCTTTGCTCTTTTCATGATCTCATTCCCTATCTTTCTTGGGTTGGAAAGTCCCGGACTTTCCGGACTTATAGGTGATCTCATTTTACTAACATCACCACTATTCTTAATGATTGGTTGGGAGGTTTCACCTGCTGTATCTATTCTCCAATCCGAATGCTGTATCTATGAGGGGATTCACCTATCCGAATGCTGTATCTATGTTGCCTTTGTCTTCTTGTAAAAACCCTATAAAATGCAATAAATGCTGCCCAGGCAGTCAGACATCTTGGCACCCTGCACAATGACTGGTCTTTGAAACCCATCACCCATGGTCACGTAATTTACAATCGGATGCTTAACAACTGACTCACATTTATGACGGTTACAGTGTCACAGAGATACGTGATTCCCTTTTGTGACCTTTGGAGCAAAGTACATGGGGAAAACAGATTCACTTAACAACCATCTTACTAATTTAAGAACTGCAGTGGTTTATTTAACAAAGATGGCGACAAAAGTCGTAAAATAGGGCAAAAGTCATTTCACAAATTTCTCACTCAGCAACATAAATTTTGCGCTCAAGTGTGGTCATAAATTGAGGATTACCTGTATCTTTATTCATTGGCATGTTCATATGACAAACACTTTAAAAAAACCAGCACGCAATCCTGTGTTAAACATGAACATAGGTTGTGAACTATGTGCTGAGCACATTTCAGGGTCCCTAGAGTTTCATACTGAAGTTGATCTTGATAAATTCTAGAATACTGAACTGATCCCCAATCAAAAGGCTGCAAAACATATCATAACTTAGATAAACGCTGGGTTTAATTTTTTTTTAAAAAAAAATCTTCTGCTGAATTTTTTATTTTAAATATTTTAAAATGCATCGAAGCAGTACATATTAAAATAAACACAATTTGAAATAATGGGGGGGAAATGCATTTGAAAACAGAGAGTTTGAGATGAAAAACTGATCGCATATTTAAACATATATACACTAGCCGTGAATGAATGTTTCCCATTCAGAAGGGCATGGGAGTTTCCTAAAAACGTTTGCCACCTTTAAAAACCCAAATTTGCAGTCCAAATCAATTATTTTTCAAATTGCTTAAATTATACT